GAAAGCAGCTTCGCAGAAACTAGGATTTTTATTCCGTGCGAAAATTACTTTACACCTCAACAGCTTCTCAAGGTCTGGTGGGTGATGTCACACTCAACAATTTTTTTGACATCACTTGAAGACCGTTGAAGAGGCGGCGACCCTTTACATTTCAATATAAGTTCTTTTACGGTGAATTATCTCCAGAAATCTCTCCAATCATTCCATCGCAATACCACTCAGACGAGCTCGACAATCTCAATCAGCACATCCCTTCGTCGTCAACCCTAAGATATGCCGAACAAATCTTGAACAATAATTGTTTGCCTATAAAGAACGACGAAGCTTTGAGATTTTTTGCCAATGGAAATATTCGTAAGATCCGAAAGATCGAAACAAATTTCTACCTCCTCGTTCCTGGGTACGCACGATGATTTCCAAACATTGAAGGGATTCCCTTTCATGCGCCCCAAGAGACAAAAAAATTAATAATGACAGCTTATTTTGAAAATCTGACTACGCCACTGGATTCTACGTGAAGAAATGTATGAGAAACTGTTTTCACTTCTTCTGTAATTTGAAAAATAGCTGAGATACAGGAGTGGTCCGAAAATGCAACATTTAAAATTTCTCCTTGTATCCCAAAAACCAAGCAGGCTATGAATATTTCGTTTGCGGCATCGTGAGTTCCACAGAAAAGTTGCAGAAACCGCAGATCTCCTTCTTGAATAATAAGTGAGGTATCCCGTGAGGACATCGGAAATGGGACAGCTTGTACATAATATAATTATGAAATGATGTTGCAGTATTTTACAATTAATTCATTCTCGAACATTCTGAGGTTGCCGTGTACAACTTTAGTTTCGATTGTTTATAGACAAACTTGCTGTTTCTGTGAAATCACTGCACTTTACTGTCGAGCAGCGACATCTCTGAGTCTCTGCCTGAACTATGGCGTGTCGCTGCAGTGCAGTTTTCTGTATCATCTGAATCTCATCCTGACGGGATACAATCCGATGATTTACCGTCCGATAGAATACGGTGTCGACGAATTACGGTTTCTATGAGATACGGTGCTGCTAAATTACCAATTCTATGAATGTTCATTATGATAGATTAACGTTGATGAAATACGGGTCTGATAAATTATCATTCCTATGGAATACGAATCCGATGAGATACTTGTTCTATAAAATACGGGTTTGACACATTACTGTTTCTATAAAATACGGATATGATAAATTATCATTTCTATGAAATACGGGTCTGACAAATTACAGGTTCTATGAAATATGGATATGATGAATTACCGTTTCTATGGAGTACGGGTTTGATGAATTACTGATTCTATAAAATACTGATTTGATAAAATACCGATTCTATGAAATACGGTTTCTATGAAAAGTTGTTATGACCAAATACGATTATGATGGTTTATTGGTTCGATGAAATACGGTTTTGACGAATTACGGTTTCTATGGAATACGGTTATGACGAATTATCGTTTCTGATGGAATACAGTTCTGATAGATTACCAATTTGATGAAGAACTAGTACGATAGACTAATGTTGCGACAGAATACGGATTTGATAAACTACTGCCTCGATAGAATATAGTTCTGATAAGATACAGATATGATAGAATAATGACTCGTTTTAATACCATTTCGACATAAAACTGTTTGATGATTTACGTGTTGAAATTTTATATTTCGATGAATTACGGCCCGATGTTTTACAATTTGATATTTTACGGTTCTACAGAATACAGTGTCGATTCTATACTATTTTGACGATTTACCAATTCGATGAAATATTTTTCTATGGATTTGAATTCGATACTTTATATTTTGACACATTAGGTGTCCCCTCAGTCAACCACGAATGAATCGGTAATTTGATAGACTAACAGACAAACGAATATCAGAATCCCTAGATATAGGCCCTCTGTTTCAAAACAAAATCTCTTAGATTTCAATCTTTATAATGCACTGCCACATCAAGTTGAAATATTGAAGATGAATGATTTCCAACGAACAATCAAATCGTATCTGTCGAATAATAATTCTATCGATGACTACGCTGAAATTATTTCAGGTGTGACCTATTTCCTTTAAGAACATACTTACCGAATGTTGTCAAAATTTGTTTCCGAACTTTCATGATGAATGTATGTATGTTTGTTCTTCTGTAATGGTGATGTTTTATTATTTTCAAAATTTTATTCTGAGACACAAAATATGACCAGCTATAAATATGAACATGTATATCAATCAAATCAACTATTTATCTATCTATCTGACTCTATGAGAAATAAATGCAACAAGTTCATCTTACAATCAGGAATTTTGAAAATAATATAGCTTGAACTTATTTAGCTTCATTTCTACATGAACAAGACCAAATAATTGCTTATACATATTTAAAATGAATAACACGTTAACATGGTTGATCAATTCGAAGGATCATGAGTATAATATTTACTATCTGAACTGTGAGTCTATACATACATACATATACATATACTACAGACAGGTAGAACGTGTAAACATCGCATTCATGAATTTCATATGAGTTCTCTGAAAATGAAAATTAAATCGACATACGCTTTCCATAAATCGAAAGCATAAGTAGGAATAAGAGTTCTGATGACCATTTCGAAATTTTGAATGTAGAAAATGAAGGAATGGAACTCATTCGTTCTTTCAATCATCAGGAATCAATAACAAACGCAAACATTCTTTCATTTTTATTGGGAATCAACTAGACTTCACAATAGCTTATGTATCACTCCCCTCAAGCATCGTCCACCAATATTCTCAAGTAACGAATTCCAATATAGATATTGTTCATACATACTTCCCGAAACTAAGGAATAGCACCACTACTCGCAGGTAATTCAGATCTGTTAGTTTCGAAGTTATATATTATGTTACCTTCTGCAAGGAGTATTTGGTGAGTCTGCAGACGCTGAATAATTTCTCATGTTTGCACACCATCTTCCCACAAAAAAAAATTGCTCATTGTGATTTTGCTGCTTCTTCCATGGTTTCAAAAACAGAGGTATGAAAACGCATATATATATATCAGTCGAACATCTGAATCAGACTGACCAACAAGATGGTTGAATAAACATGTCAAGTTGTCTGGCACCAATTACATTGGCTATAAGTCGTTTCAATTATAGCACAGAACTTTGGAAACATTCTCCATATATCATCAATTTGAGGTCAATTCCTTCGATTGCAGAAAAAGTAGTACTTATATTACCATTCGGTTTTGAAATAACTTTGTTTGATTTGCAAATTTTGCGTGTTCGACTCATCTATCACTTCATTTCTAGAACGCAAATGTCGTTCGACGAATAAATTGTCACTTTTGTTTCAAATAAAATAATACACTCTTTCCCAAATTCCTATTGATAATTCGATATATTATCAAAATTATCGTTTTATCATTTTTAAAATTTTTGTCCTATGAACCTTCGACAGACAAAATAATCGATTTCAAAAATTTAACTGTCACCTAATTCGCAGAGTGGCTTATTTTCTGAAAGTGATAGAATTATATTATTATACCAGTTTTATAAGGCACTATTTAGTCTTTCAAAATGTGTGTAAAATACAGTCCTTTCTATTTTGCATTCATTTGTATTCCCTTTGTACTCTTCGTAATTTCATCAATCAAAACATCAAATATTATAGGAATAGATGAAGTTAGTATAGTTGGTGACAATGAAAAAACTTCTGAATGTTCATCATTCTCTAACCAGACAAAACTTCGTGTCAATCCTGTCTGACAGTTTGACGTTACCATTGTCCATTACCCACTTTGGAAGAAGACATTCAGCGTGCCCTAGTAGAAGCTGTTTCGACACGCATTTGTGTGCCATGATGGCTTCATTTAAGACGCAAATTAGAAAATGCAGTTTTCTCCGATTTTTTCAAGTCTCAAATTCTAGTTTGGGTACATTTTAATTCAATTCATTCCACTCCATCAGTCTCCATATGACACTGACAGATGTGAGCAGAGTTCCATCAGCAGCTACAACTCATCTTCGGAAGGCATTGACCGTAACCGAGATGGTATACCTGTATACCTAATGGTTTTGACGAATAAATTGAATACATAATGTAGTTCATTGTTACGCCAATGACATTCTCATTCGTTCATGCAGAAGTTCACATCGTGAGTTGTTTTCACGAATTGTGATGCATTCATCATGTCTGAATGTAATGAATGGTTCATTGATTTCGTAACCAATGTTTGTCTGTATAATAGTGTGTTCCTGATATAGATATATCATATATCTATACCCAATCAAATGACCTTTTGAAAACGTTCTGTATCTCCTGAAATAATATTTAGCGACAATTTTAAGGTTTATATCAGATAGGATGTTTGATGTTTAAATTCGTCTTTATCTGTAAGATTATTGAGCATTTATTTTTGATGAGTCGGTCTAAGTAGGTATAGGTAGGTACGGATGAACAAATATTTGTTGTGGAAAAGAAAAATCAGTAGAGTCAATTTTGGAATACCTAAGAAAATTTCAATGAATAATTTAAAAAAATCGAGTAGGGAAACTATATCAACAAAAAAATTAAATAGGTTCCTATTACTAATGACTCAGTAAATCGCTGATCCGATTCGTGTGTTCAGTTTGTGTCAATGATAGCCATCTTTATCAAAATTATTTCATTATTTTAGATTCCCTGGTCTACTATATTTCATGAATTGAATTGAAATAATATCACTATGACCTGACACATGTCGAACGTATTATAGGCGGTACTACCATACCTACCAACTCAGAACATGTCAGACATGATCAAGGTGTTATGTGAAGTCCAGAATAAGGAATGGTGAAATCTAATATCACAAAGTTCCCATTGATATAATGAATAACTATACTATCAAGATCTCTATATACATATACATATTATACAGAAAGAAGTTCTGAGAAATTGTAAAAAGTTGAAAGGAAGCAATATATCTATAGCCCACGATCTCACACTTACCCAAAGGAGCGAGAACAAAATATTGCGGAAACACCTTTTACTCGCTAAGCAAGACGGAAAGCACGAAGACTGCTTCATAAGAGGTAGCAAACTTGTTGTGGATGGAATTTCGTACGGGATCGAAGACCTGGAAAAAGTCTATTCCTCTGACATTAAGCCAACCAGTTCTCCTTCTACTCCAACATCCGAGAATATAAATAGTAAAGTTTCTGCTCCAATATTCGAGAATACAGTTAGCAAAGCTTCTTCTGACAAAAGTGAAGTTTTTTCTGGCCTACCAAAAGAACCTGATACCCCGAACGCTCCATCAACAAGAAAACCTGCACAATTTGTACTAACCACCAAGCCCAGGACACGCTCGATCAATAAATATCATAATTGAATTAAGATTCATCATCTCATTTAGACATAGTCACGATTAATCCTGAATTTCGAATTGTTAAACGATACTTGTAATTATTTTGTACAACCCTTAATACACCCTATTTTGTATAATATGTGAATTTCTGCTCCCATTATTAATTTTATTTTTAAATTTGGGAGCAATATTATTTTAGTTTATTTTGTATTCGGTTCGTTGTGTTTATTATTATTATTATCAGTCCCTACATAATTTCCGATTTTCACAGTCTCACTTAGTTTTCGTCTTGTTCTTGTGCAATCTAATTTACCTCTCTAATCTTTCCCTTACTTCTTTTTCGTCTGTAGAAAAGTATGAACCTAAAAATAGCGCATCTTAATACTAGTTCATTGTTGAAGAGTTTCAACAGTTTTGCTACACATGTATATGAGCATGATCTAGATGTTATGGCAGTATCTGAAACCTGGCTGCGAGCTGAAGTAGAAGACGATGCAATTCGATTACAGAATTACAATTTTGTCAGGCTTGATAGGTTAACACATGCTGGAGGAATAGGTATGTACATAAAAAATACACTGAAACATAGTACTTTATTTATGGAATGTACTGAATCTCTAGAGCAACTCTGGGTTCAAGTTAGTGGTAAAAAGGAAAACTTTATTGTTGGAGTAATTTATAGACCACCTAAATCCAATTTTGATATCTTTATGTCTAGTTTCGAGGATACTTTAGCCAATGTCTACTCCAACTATGAAAAAGTGATATGTTTAGGTGATTTCAATGTAGATTTCTTGAATTTTAGCTGTACAAGAGTCAAACGATTAATTAATGTTGTCGAAACATTTAATCTCCATCAAATAATGAATGAACCTACAAGAATCACTGAAACGTCCAGAACTCTGATTGATTTAATTTTTGTTAGCAACGAACTTGATATTTCAGATTATGGGGTCAATGACTGGGGAATTTCAGATCATCTACTGACATACGCAAATATTGTCACTGAAATTCAACGTTTCGAACAGAATAAGTACTTTTCTTACAGGGATATAAATAATATCGATTTAGACAGTTTTAATTCCGATATGATGTCTTTACCTTGGCATTTACTGCATGAAATCTCAACTATTGATGATAAAATTGAATTCCTTAATAATAATATTCTATCATTATTTGACAGACATTCTCCTATAAGAAAGGTAAAAAAAAGGAAGAAATATAAATACTGCCCGTGGATAACAGATAACATTAAAATTATGCAAAAACTCAGAGATAAAGCTCTGAAAAAATTCAAAATTACTAAGCTTGCAGCTCATTATGAATATTATAAACAAATTAGGAATTATACGAATTTCGCAGTGAAATCTGAGAAGAAAGCTTACCTTAAAACCAAATTTCAAAGTTGTTCGTCAAAAGAAAAATGGTGTGAACTCAAAAAATTGAATATATGCAAATACAAACATACTTCTCTGCCAGATAATATATCAGACGTAAATGCTCTGAATAAATACTTCGTAAACTTGTCAAATAATGCAATTGCTCCTAGTGAAGAACTCATAAATCATTACTCTACTAATGTGAAGATCGAGTTGAATGAAACATTCTCTTTTGTAGCAGTGAATGAGAACACTGTGCTGAACATAATTCAAAATATTAAATCACAGTCCTTTGGTAATGATCAACTCAATATAACTTTGTTGATACTATGTTGCCCATTTATTATTCCCTTCATTACACACATTCTGAATGAATGTCTGATTCAGTCATATTTCCCACGCGCATGGAAAATTGCGAATGTGATTCCACTCCCTAAAATCAAGAAACCAATAGAATTCAATCACCTCCGATCTATAAGTATTCTTCCAACCTTATCTAAGGTACTTGAAAAAATTATGGATACTCAAATTCGACCTTATCTGGATCGAAACAAAATTTTACCTGATAAGCAATCTGGATTTAGAGCAGGCTTCAGCTGTGAAACTGCCCTAGCCAATATAACTGACGACATTATTAAAGGCATTGATGAAAGCAATGCTACCATATTAATTTTACTGGATTTCTCAAAAGCTTTCGATTTGATCAATCACAAACTATTATTATCCAAATTGCATTTTTTCGGATTTAGTGAGTCTGCCTGTATATTACTTGCATCATATTTATCTGACAGGTGTCAAAGAGTTATCTTGAATGAGAAAATATCAGAAGCTTCCCATGTATTGAGTGGTGTACCACAAGGAAGTATATTAGGACCCCTACTGTTTACATTGTTTACCTCAACGTTTCCTGAATGCTTACAATATTGTAATCATCACATGTATGCTGATGATACTCAATTATACTTAACTTTTAATTCGAAAAATAGTATATTATCTAACAATGCGATTAATACAGATTTGAATTCTTTGTTGTACACATGCGAGACACACCTACTTAAAATAAATCCTCAAAAATCGTGTGCTATTTTATTTTGTAAGACCACTGTCAGAAATACTTCACTTGAATCAATAGTTTTACGCATAGGTGAGGACATCATTCCATTCAAAAATAACACAAAAAATCTTGGGCTAGTGCTAGATTACAAATTACGTTTCAAAGAACATGTCAATCACATGCTGAAGAAATGTTACTTCAATATAAAAATGATATATCCTCATAGACACTCTCTTGGAAAAGATGTGAAGAAAATGTTATGCGACTCTATAGTACTTTCTCAACTTAATTATTGTGATACGGTCTATGGACCCTGTTTAGATTCTGTCGATATTAAACGCATACAAAAAGTACAAAATTCTTGTTTGAGGCTTATTTTTGGCATTAGAAAATACCAGAGAATCTCACATAAATTGAAGGATGTCAACTGGCTGAACATGCAAAACAGGCGAAAACTGCATTTGGTGTGCAGCTTTGCGACCTTCCTAAACGGCACTAATGCCTAAGATCGCTAACCACCATTAATAGTGGGCAACCGCGCCAGCTACAGCCGAAGGTGGGGTGGTTCGTGATATTTTTTTGTGATATCATCTATAAAGTGAATTAATGAATTGGGCGCTAGGAAATTTACCCCGCGCGAATACCCTAAACAGAACGAACTCAACCTCCAAATTTACCAAAAGCGAGATTGAGGCAAAACCATGTCAAGGTGTTCAAATAAAATAAAAGACGTGTCACCCTTGGATGCCATTATAATTCGAGTTACTATACTATAGATAATACAAGCCCAAGATAAAGTAATTCTAACAAATATTCTACAACAATAATGTTGAACCATTAAATCACCATACCCGATATAACGGCAAGCTAATAAGTATCCTACTTTTAAATTTACCGCCTAAACCAAACACTCTTAAGCAGTATCGAGCAACCGAAATTATGAAGCGAATAACGTATGTTCAGCACTAAAAATATACCAGATACATGGATGAAGCGCTCGAGGTGGGTAGGCAAGCGTGGGACATAAGGGCGTTTGATATACCAAGTTAGGCGCTAGTGTGCTAGCGCAACGCGTGAGCTCAGGCGAGGGCGTGATAGTAAGTAAAATGCGCGCATGCAACAAACTCCGCTTACATAACCCCTCAAGTGATGCTAATAAATAACAACCAACCCGAAGTAATAAGGCGAACAAAATATAACCGTATTTGTAACTAAATAACGTAGTAAATTTCAGCAACCCTAACTAATCGGGAAGCAAAATGTGTCAGCAATTGTCACTAACCAAATGGCAACTAACGGCAAATACAGACAATCAAATATGCAAAAAAAAAAAATAGCGACATGCGCAAATAACAGTGAATACTTTCACTCGGTTTTACAATAGCAGGGATAAGCAAGCATGACCCATTCCCTAAGCAAATACATAAGCATATGCAACCAATAAATAAGCAAATAGTAGCAAAGATCAAAAGCAAAAGATAAAAACTTGCGTATCCTTCTGGCTTATTTACGTGTACTGGGCCACCCCGTATTTCTGGTAGATGGGTTGTGCCATCTTCGTGAGCTTCTGTCGTCGAAGAAGACTCAGTACAAAGTGTCCACCCGGTATAAGTGCCTCCTATGTGAATGGATTGGGAAGAAGTCTTGCAATGCGGCGACCACCCTGTATAGCCACCTCACAGATGAATGAATCTGAAGATATTCTAGATGATGCGATGACCACCCTGTAAGGTGCTGCGCAGGTAAGTGGATTTGGTACACTCCAACTCATCAAATAATTCTTCAATCCAAGAAAATTAAAACCCTGGGAAGAAATGATTTCAATTACTATTTCTCCCAGACTTAAACCATATCATTTCCCCAGAATACCAGGAAAATGCATAAAAAAAATAAGAATGTTCTCAAATCAGTAATATGGGCCATTCCAAAATCAGTCGAATAACACAAAAAAAAAAAGAAAAATTAACTCCTCAAGTTGTACCCACAACCAGAAGGAAGGAATGTTTAACAACAGCCCCTGGAGAAATCATGTTTTTGTGAATTTAATGAAGTAAATAGGCCCTTGGGTATAATGCCTAAATTTTATGAAATTTCACTGTGCCATTATATTAGCACATACAACTATTATAGTAGATGCTAAAATTACAATACAACTGTATCATGAAATCAGTCTCTGCTCATTACAAGTAAATGGCAATAATCTACAGAGTCTAATAACAGATCAAGAAGTACTATAATTTAATTTATAAAAATATATGAAGTAATATAGAAAGAAAGATAAGCTTACCCGGCCCAGAGGGTTTTTTTTGTTTCCTTATACACAATATTTGACAGTGCGCCAACGTATGAACGAACGAGTCTGATAATGGATTATGGGCCTTAACGCACCTGTCAATAAGGATATGATACGACATGGACTGTTTTCCTGCTACAATTAAAAAAAAATAGTGTTACTTGAGAAAATACTGCACGATCCAGATTCACAACAGATAGAATTCACACATCGAGAAAACACAGAAATCCACATACCTAATCATCAATCTCAGGAGCACTCGCTTCGATCACTTCACGAATATGATGGAGGTGGGTAGAATTTAAAATCCTCAAATCGAGTTTAATTTTGGGTCAGCGCTACAAAA